AAAAATGATCACTTGAAATAATTAACCAATGAAATTTTTTTCATTGTCAATAACAATTTATGTCTAAACTATTTTGTGGACGATGAAAATATTTTTCTTTCATTCATGTTTGTAAGGGATATAAGCGATCATTTTTGGGAAAATGTTATCCAAATCATTCAATTTCCATGAAACAAACGGAGTATAGGTGATAAATAGTGTTTCATTTTAACCGGCTTCAATAACTTGTTAAAGTTTTTCAACCGAAAACTTAAATGATAAAAAAAAAAAAGCGACACGCGGAGTGCCGTGACTAGGGACGTAACTATTATGCGATTAGGTGAACTTTCTATGACTATCATTGATCTGATGCGTTGATCAAATTTTGTTAGGAGTGCTAAGATGAGAAGAAGGGTCAAATTAGGAGATGCTCCTGATTAACTTTTTATAATAATAGATATAGTAAACTCGAAAGAACCCTCAATATTTAACTTTCGTCTGAAATTTCCACAAAATAACCCATGATAAATAATGATAGGGTTTTACTAAACAATAGACAAAACTAACAATTTGAAATGTGAACATAATTGTCATTTAAATAAATCTCTTCTATATTTTAAGTGACATTTTTTATCCTACAATCCAATATGCGTAAGTTAAATCACATTTTTCTTTCCTCCGTCGCAATATATTTTTTTTCCATATTTTGCACACACATAAATATGTGCACATGTCACAACTAAACAATGGAACAATAGTAATCTAAAATGTGAACATAATCACCATTTAAGTAACCTTCCACTAATTCTCTTCTATGTGGACTTTAAATTTTAATTACATTCTTATCCTACAATTGAATCTATTTCCTAAAATAAATTAAATCACTTTTTTTTCTTATCCTGCATTTTTTCCTTATCTCTGTTGTAATTTTTCCCATATTTTGCACAGGCATAATATGTGGACATGTCATATTATAGTCTATTACTAAGAAAGGACAAAATACTAATTAAAAATGTAAAGATAATTATCAATTAAGTAACCTTCCAATAAATCTCTTCTATGTAATTTTTTAAAATTAAATTCCTTTCTTACCCTACAATTTAGTAAATTTCCTAAAATATCTTAAATCACTTTTCTTTCCTTATTCTACATTTTTTTTCCTTTTCTTTTGTTGCAATTTTGTCCATATTTTGCACGCACATACATATGTGCACATGTCATATTATAGTGGATTACTAAATAACGGACAAAATAGTAATCTAAAATGTGAACATAATTACCTTTTAAGTGACCTTCCACTATTTCTCTTCTATGTGGATTTCTAATTTCAATCACTTTCTTATCATACAATTAAATCTATTTCCTAAAATAACTTAAATCACATTTATTTCTTGTCCTACAATTTTTTCCTTTCCTCTACTGCAATTTTTTCCATATTTTGCACGCACATATCACATTATAGTGTATTACTAAACAACGGACATAATAGTAATCTAAAATGTGAACATAATTACCTTTCAAGTAACCTTCCACCACCAAAAAAAAAAGTAACCTTCCACTAAATATTTTCTATGTAAAAATTAATTTACTTTGTTATGCTACAATTAAATCTATTTCCTCAAATAACTTAAATCGCATTTTTTTCTTCTCCTGCATATTTTTCCTTTTCTCTGTTGCAATTTTTTTTTTCATATTTTACACATGCATAAGTACATGCACATGTCATATTACAGTGTATTACTAAACAACAGACAAATTCGTAATCTAAAATGGGAACGTAATTACCTTTTAAGTAACCTTCCACTAAATCTCTTCTCTGTAGATTTCAAATTTAAATTACTTTCTTATCCTACAATTAAATCTATTTCCTAAAATAAGTTAAATCACATTTTTTTTTCTTATCCTTCATTTTTTTTTCTTTCCTTTGTTGCAATTTTTCCCATATTTTGTACACGCATAAGTATGTGCACATGTCATATTATAGTGTATTACTAAACAACAGACAAAATAGTAAAATGTGAACATAATTACCTTTTAAGTAACCTTCCAATAAATCTCTTCTATGTGGATTTTAAATATAAACTACTTTCTTATCCTACAATTAGATTTATTTCCTAAAATAAATATAATCACATTTCTTTCTTATCCTGCATTTTTTTTCCTTTCCTCTGTTGCGATTTTTCCTATATTTTGCACATGCATGTCATCTTATAGTGTATTACTAAACAACGTACAAAATAGTAATATAAAATGTGAATTTAATTTAAGCAGCCTCCAATAAATCTCTTTTATGTGGAATTAAATTTTAAATAACTTTCGTATCCTACATTTAAATCTATTTTCTACGAAAGTGGGTTGACTCAGCTTGTAAGGTTAAGGAAAAAAACAAAGCTGCTAAGATTCGAATTCTCCGCACACCGTGCCCAAGTTTGAATCCTGCTGCCAGCATTCCCTTTTAAAAGGCGGTCTGTGGTATGCTTTGACCTTGACATGGGGTAACCTTCTCTCCTCCTAAGCTTTTTGAAATTAAAAAAAAATATTTCCTAACATGAATTACGTAGTAATTTTTCCTGTCCTACATTTTTTTTCTTTCTTTCCTGTGTTGCCATTATTTCCATATTATGCACACGCATAAGTATGTGCACATGTCATATTATAGTGTATTATTAAACAACGGAAAAAGTAGTAATTTGAAAGGCGAACATAGTTACCTTTTAAGTCACCTTCCAATAAATCTCTTCCGTGTGGATTTAAAATTGAAATAGCTTTCTTATCCTACAATTAATTCTATTTCCTAAAATAACTCAAATCACATTTTCTTTTTCTTTCCTCTAGTGCAATCATTTCACTGCAAAACATGTATATAAATATAAATTATAATTGGTGAAAGAATATGTTGCTTCATGAAAAAACTGATGATAAAGCATGCCAGCCCTAGAGATGCCAGAGCGAGTGGAAAAAATTATGGTAGGTAAATTGGTTAGTGTCAGATAATTTGCTTTAAAAAATGAGGTCGAGAGACTATTTAGGCTGCGCATGGCAATCATTCTGTGCCCCGAAACAAATTCTGTTCAGAAATTATTTTTTTTTATTGCGTGCCCGGAAACAATTTCTAAGCATTTTAAGGCGTTTAGTAACTGCACAAAATTTCTATTCTTAGAATAGAAAAAGAACAGAAATACATTTGGTAACTACACAAATTTTCATTTTATTAATAAATATTTTAATAATATTTTGAATTTTTTAATATTTTATTCTTTTATTCTTTTTTTTTTCTTTCCTTCCTTGGCCATGGCCGGTCGCCGGTGTCGGCGGCCGGCCACAGGCCAGGGCCGGCGAGGGCATCGCGACCCTCGCCGCCTCCCTCGCCGTCGCCAACGCAAGCGACAGCGAGGTCAAGCCTCACCCAGCCAAGGCGAGGCTGGCCTCGCCATCGCCACCCAGGCAACGGACCTGGGTGGCGATGGACCTGGGTGGCGACAGCGAGGTTGACCTCGCCTTGGCTAGACGAGGCCTCGCCGTCGCGATCACGAGCCGCCCTCGCCCAGGCGGCGAGGGCTGTGACGCCCTTGCCGGCCCTGGCCGCCCGCCGATGGCCGGCGGGTGGCGGGCGACAGGCCGAAGAACAACAACAAGCCAAAAAAAAAGAAAAAAATCAAGAAGAATCAGAAAAGGAAAAATTGTTCAAGAATCAAGAAGTTACTTTTTTTTTGCTTCTTGATTCTGTTCCAAAACTGATTCTGTGAACAAATTTTTGCAAAATTGTGCCCGGGCACAAAAAATTTAACAAACGGATTTCTGCTCCTAAACTGATATTGGGAACAAAAGAACAGAAATAGTTACTATTTTGCACGTTACCAAACACGCCCTTAATGTACTGAATAAGTAATGCTACATGTGTATATATATATAAGTTAGTTTATAAGGTAAATTTTTTACTAAATAAGTTGAGAATTCCAATTCAACACACATTGTAATCAATCAAATTATTAGAACATCAATTTTTTTATCATATTTTGTATACCTAACATTAGTCTATGCATTAATATACACGAACTCCGTGTATGAAAAACGTGGGAAACACATGCTTTTTTTGTTTCACAAAAAATGAATAATTTGAAAAATATTTTTTTAATAATGATTTCATGTATTGCTTGAAATAATTAGTTAATGAAAAATATTTTTATTATCGACAATAATTTATGTCTAAATATTACCATAGACGATGAAAATATATTTCGTTTATTCATTTTTGCAAGCGATACAAACAATCGTTTTATAGAAAAATATTTTTTAAATAATTTATTTTTTACGAAATAAACAAAGCAACAATAAAGAAAAGATGATCAGTGCATGGACTTTATTTCTGTTGATAGACCAATTACTTTCAAATAATAAAACAAATTCACAACGAAACAATGCGAAAAAAAACTCTTGTGACAGTAGATAGATGAATACAACTTGATCATTTCGTTCTCATGACAGCTCACAAAAAAAAACTATTATTAATTATTTAGAATTTGGACAAATGGGCATGAGATGATGTGATGGTAGTGGTGAGACATTTGGCTGATGAAAATGAGACTTTAGAAAAGCCCTAAGATAATACTTTGACAAAAATTTAGGGGGCTCCCCAAGTTTCAAGGACATTAAATGTGATGTTGTTGGGTTATGATGGTGTCTATGGTCCAATCTCAATCAATCCAAGAATGATTCCCAAACAATCCAACACCACTTGTTGTCCATCACAGTTGTAATTGTCCTTTCCACACTCATCTTATCCATTTTGGCAGCACATGAAGCTCGAACCATATGAATTTTCATCTTCTTCTTCTTTTGCCCAGCTAGAACAAGAAAATGTTCCTTTCACCATAAAGGCCTTGATAAGACTAGTGATTGATTGGTATTTGTATGCTTGTGTGCTTCTTTGTGATTCAGTTGAGGGATTGATTTTTTATTGCACTTGAGTAAGGAAAGATAGCACATCGTGAAATGAAGAGAGTTACTGCACACAAAATAGGGGTAGAAGCTAATGCTTTTATATTGTACTGAAAAACCAACAACAATAATTGAAGAGAATGTGAAATCAACCTAAAAAGACGAGATTAGTGGGATTTCGAAGTAACCCACTAGACCTAACTTTAACGGCAAGTTCAGCCAGCGAGTTAAAAGCAAAATAAAAAACGTTGAGAAATCTGTTGTGACCCACCTTTAGATATATAGATAAATAATTCCCATCACCTAGTGAAACGTTCAGTGGATCGGTACAGACCTGACTTGTGTAGGACAGACTTGTCGATCATTGTTCCGAGTAAAACATTTGATCTCTCGAGCCAATCATGCACGTGTGCCAATGAAACTTCTTCTCTATTGTCCTTTCTCTTTGGCATTAATATCTGACATGATGAACATCCAACTCATGAAATTGGGTGAGAAATTTAATGCAAGGTGGATACTGGTCTACGAATGTCGTATTATTGAGTAGGACCGGGCTTAGTTGACTAACCGACCGTGACAAAATGGTGCTGTGGTTCCCCCCAGATGGGTCTACATCTTCACCTTAGAGCAACTTCACGACTGTTTCTTTTCTCTCTTTTTGGACCCGTCATATATTAAAATTTCTACAAGTGACACAAATGTCGTTTGGACATTAGTACTATACTATCTTCAACTTATATAAGTTCTCTAATTACCCAAAAAAAGACCATCGATGAGGTAAGTTCTGGTACAGGGCTGACAATCTAGCCCAGCAATAACCATACTAATCAGAATACTAGCAGTGTTATTAATTTTATCGGGTCTTGGGCCGAACCTTACTTTCGCAACTATATCCTCAATAGTCTGGACAATTTCCTCTACAACGTGTATAGTCCGCTACTAAAGAATTGTGAGAAAGTTTGGACAAGAAATACAAAACAGAAGATGCTGAGTTGAAGAAATTCATTATCGGCAAATTTCTGGACTTCAAGATAATAAATTCTAAAACCGTCTTAAGTCAAGTTAAAAAACTTCAAGTGATCATACATGACATTCATGCTGAAGGTACGATGATCAGTGAATCATTTCAAGTGGCTGCTTTTATTGAAAAATTCCCACCGTCTTAGAAATGTTATTTGGGTTTTCTCAATTTATGTGACTCAATCATCCTCTAGATCCGCATTGACGCAATAGATACATTCACTGACATCGCTACATTCCATCCCATGAATAATTCGACTCGTTGTTGCAGAGATTGAGGCAACTGATCGAATCTAGATCACTAAAAGATAATCGGCACGGACCACTTCGACAAAGCAAAACAATCGCAGTTCAAGAAACGGTCGATTGAAAGGACATCGACGGCGCTAATTTCTAGAGGGTGATGAAACCTGGCCACCGTGACACAAAATGTCTAGGCATTCTTATTAACTTAAAACAGTTTCGAAGTAATAGCATACAGACCTGTCAACAGGCGCAACAGGGGAGATCCAGGTGCAGCCGTGAATGTGCAATGGGATTCTCCAGAGTCGAGCATCAGTTTGTGAAATGTATATACGATGAACGAATCGACGGGATAGAAAAATACGGTCTATGACGTTAGCTAAATCGATAACGATTGATGCGTCGTTGGGGATGACAGGATATAAAGGGATCTATAAGAACAAATAAGTTAAAGCATATATTTCTTTACCATCTCCTCTCATCTTCGCGCGATCCTATTCCCCGCTCCAAGTAACAATGCTTTCCCTATGGCACCGGAATGCAGTCCAAATACAAGAGCCACGGTTCCTCCTACCACAACCCACTTCCAATCAAGCCCATTCTCTTCGTGTCTCTTGATTTCCAAGCTTTGGTCTCTGTCCTCTTCAACAGAAACTGGTTCCATGGAATCAGAATTTCCATCGAAAGATATCTTCGTCGTGATTCTCGCCATCAATGCACTCCTCGACAAGGCAGCTTCCATTTTCCGGGCGTTTTGGTATCCTCTCATGCCGGAGTGTAGTTTCTTCACTGTCCCCCACATTCCATGCCGGACTCCCAACTTGGCCACATCTTTGGGAAGCCCCATATCCTCATAATGCACGAGAGTAACCTCGCACGCAGACAACTGTCCATCACCGTTACGAGATTCCACTGACAAATTATGAAAGCAAAAAAAAAAATTAGTAGACACTACTTTTTTTTCCTTAATCGACAAAATTTAGTGGGGTAGAGGTACATGGTTCTCCAGTGGTGCATACCAGCCTTGATAACCCAACTAGAAAAGTAGAGCTCAACACGCCTTGGCTTGTCGCGTTTCGGCAGGCCTGGGTATGGCACTCCCTGTAAGATTATCAAACATCAGTCAGTGCCATAGCCAAATTGGGAAAAGATAAGACATGCTATCCCACTCTTTTCTCCAAGCATTAGTTGATTGATTCATTGTTCATCTACAGCTGGAATATACAAAAAATATGACCCACAGTCTTCATCATTCACTCACAAAAATCCAAGACATAATGCCAGTTCCAAAGCTATATAGCAAAAGTACCTAGACAAGCAGCACATAAACCAGACTTTGCCGGATAATATATTCGACAAGAGTTTTGACAACTACTCCAACAAGACCAAAATCCAGTGAAAGTATCATTTCAGTATGGGCCAAAACTGAAAGTCAGAAAACCTTTCAAAACAGAGATAGCTTGGGTAAATTCAGCAGACCATGGGACACGACAGAGAAATGAATGTCATCACATGTTGTGCAGAATGTTCCATGAAAATGTTTAACAACCAGTCCTTGACAGTTAAATTCTACAACATGAATGTATCTGATCCTAAATACCTTTGTCACACAATAATACGTCTTGCCAGCCTCCCATATCCGTCGGCCAATGATATACTCACGATCACTACAGAAGAAAGGAAACTGAAATAGAAAAGTGCAATTTTGTCATTATATTGTATTGTATCTGGTAGGAGAAAGAACAAAAACAACAGCCCAAATGTGCGTGTATGTGCACTTGTCTTCCATTTACAAGCTTGAAAAACCTTTTTTATCCAGTGAAGAATCATTGTCCCTGTATGAGGGCATTCCTCCAGGGTTTTGCAGTACGCAAGCATAGGATCCCATTTTGGCCGGAACTCATCATCCCAAAAGAAATCTCTGACCACTTCCGCAGTTGCATCCTCAAATACAGTTCTGCTGCGAAAAATAATGGGGCCTGTCTGATAGACAAAACACAAAATCAGATAACGAAACAAGGGTTACTGATAAACAAAATGCCGAATCATATACAGGAAACAAGGGTTCTATCAATGTTGAGAGCATTGAAAAGAAACGCATCTGTTGCATGACCATATATCTAAAATGCATCTGCATTTCCAGCTATACAGCACCATCGCTCTTGATAGCCATGCAACATAAGTGCCAATCACAGTTTATACATGGAAAAGGCATCAGCTGGCAGCAGATTATATTATAATCCTAGTAGCTAGCACGATTCTAAATGCATACACATGACCAGTGGCTGATTCCCACCACATACTATACATTCTTAAGTGATCAGAAAAACATCATGTGTGAATACCAGATAGCAAGCAGCAAAATGCATAATATGTTAGGATTTGCTCAGAAAAAGCAAATCTTGCCTTTTTATTTTCATATTAAAGAAAAGAACATTACGAAAAAGCTTTATAAGTATCTACATGGTAGAAATCGCATTGCCCTAAACAAATAAAGAATGAGACACTGCTAATTGAAGCAAAAAGTACTTTGGGTTCATGCCGCCAAGCTTGGTATGCCATGTTAGGCGTGGAGCGCTCCATCATACTTTGCCACTCCATATCTCCTTCCTTTCCTTCCAGAAGATGTAACAGATGCTCCAAGTCATTTTCCGTCACGATATCTGACTGTCCTCCAGCAAGCCTAGTTTCAAGACTGTAGAACAATAAAGTCGTTGGCCAACTCAATCAAGATACTGATCAAATACCACCAGGAATAAATGGAGTAACCTATTTCTACGAGGAAAGCAATAAATTGAGGAGTATGTCATTAACCATGGTTAACCATGGACCCAAGGAGGATGAGGAGACTGATTCATACCACAAAGACATGAATTTCTGACTGATGAGCTAAGAAAATATATTTTGCCGTTCCTTCATTGGCATGTTTATGGCCAATACACACTTATTTCACATCTAGATGACTCTGTGACGTTCATCGATGACCATTGGTTATAACTCAACGTACTCACTAAGAATTAACATCATCACTCAAAGCTCGTCAAGTGAACACCTTCATCATATTGAATTACATATTCCTATCAAGCTATGAAACAGAGAAATACTATTGAAAGCTTCAACTTCATGAATCTCTAAGTAAATACATGCCATTTCCCTATCCAAACTGTTGGTGGTCAACGTCTACAAATCATCAACCCTTTGTATCCAAAACTTTGAAAAGTTTCCCAAAGATCACAATTGGGACACCTTAAACTCTTTTAAGTAAAGATCCGTTGACTACTTCCTAAAAGAAAAGAGCAACAACTACATCAAAGTCGTAACATAAATATAAGAAGAAAAAGTGGAAGAATGGAGCCTGCTCTAAAGATCACAATTGGGACACCTTAAACTTTTTTGAGTTAAGATCCATTGACTACTTCCTAACAGCAAAGAGCAACAACAACATCAAAGTCGTAACATAAATATAAGAAGAAAAAGTGGAAGACTGGAGCTTAATCAATGCAATACCAGGATTGCCTCTCCAGAGCAATGTTTAAGTTCATGAGGGAAAATGATCCATAAGCTTGGCCAATTGCTAGATTTTAGCTCAAGCCAACCAAAAGAAGCAAAATGCATCTTAACACACATATTATCTCCAAGTGATCAACTGCGAGAATAGAGATTGATCAGCCAATGTACCTCCCTAGGCATTCTATCATATTTCCATGGAAGCTCCATATTCTCCTCGATAACTTAAACAGATTACTAGTTATAGCCTCTACTTACAAATGGAACAGTATGGAACTTGCAGCATTTCAAAGACACAACAGATCTATCATTCAAAAGTAATAAGATTCTATACTTGCCACAAATAAATATTGTCCCTAGCACACTACGGAAAACCAAGAATTCTCATGCTGCAATATGGTCCATAACATTTCACATCTGCAGGATCTCCACATACAACAGTCTCCTCACTTGTGTGTTTGAGCTTTGGGGGAAAAAACAGAGTGAGGGGGGCAGTGATGTCTGTCTAACTCTGCATCAAAAGAGGAGATGTCTAAAAACAAAACCACAAGATGTCCAATTCCAAATAAACAAAATTCCGCAGTATGTAGGATTCCACAGGCATGATTGCTTGTTAATAAAGAGGGAAGTGGTTTATGAGATTTTCCATTCTAGATTCCATAAAATCTTCTTCATGTTCTTACAAACAATCAACCTGTAGACCTACTTCATTTGCATTTCACCCAAATAACACTATACCCAGAGAAAGAATCACAGGCCTATAAACCAAATGGTCAGAAAGAGACAACTGGATAACATGAGTACCAGTCAGTGCTTCAAAGCACTACTCATTAAATACATGGATCTAACTTTGAGAAGTACCACAAAGTCCCATTTCATGCACCTTCATCTCATTTTATTGTGCTTTCGCTTCGAATTATCTTCATATCTTATTCATCTAATATGATATATTATAAATGGAAGGTGCATTTACTCTTTATTTAGTTCTCTTTTCTTTTCTTTTCTTTCTTTCTTTCGTTTTTTTTTTTTTTTGCCAAAGGGAGGCGGATTTATTCATTCTTGGTAACTTACAAATTCACATAAAGGTAAGGTCATGAATTGATATAGATTTTGTTTCTCAACCTATCAATAAGAGCAATAAATCAAATAATACGCAGCTACATAGATTATCGCACTTCACTAATTTTGGATGGATGGATGAATAGATGTTTGATGATTTTAAGGATTGTTCGTGATGATTTTTCACATTATCAGATATCCCAAAGAAGAACAGATTATGCTGCATTACACTTGCCAAGTTATTGGTACAATAATAAATATTGAGTCTATCATCATATACCAGCCATGCCGCAATTAAGAAAGCAGAAACAACATACCAGCAAAGGAAATTAGGAGAAAATACTTGAAACCTTAGGGTAGGTAAAATTCTAACCTAGACACTACTACATTCACAACCCTACAACTAAGACGCAGAAAATTCACGTTGGTTGAATCCAATTCAGAATTCCCCTCGATTATTCAAAACAAAAACAATGAGATAATTCAGTAAAAGTTGGGCCACTTGCTGTCAGGATGTTACTTCAAGCCAACATTATTTCCACCACTCCCATTAGCATCGACTACAGCATTTTCATGCGACATCACACCTCATTTCCACCAATATTGCCTACCAAATTTCCCAGGGGGACCATTGCCCTATATCCACCATTGCCCCCTTCAAAAGGCCCATTATCACTTGCCTTGTTGTTTCCATTGTTGATAGCACCAAAATTGCCTTGACACATGCCCATCTCCAATTCGACATTGCCACCGCCAGCATTTGCAATAGTGGGCGCCACCAGAGGAGGAACAACAATACCATATCCGTTGCTAACAATAAGATCTCCATAAGTCGATGACATTTCATGTCCATTGGCGATGACTACAGCATTCCTTTGATTCACCCCTATCCCACAACCTCCATTACCACCCCCATGATCATTATTAGTAAGAGGAAGCACCACGCCATGACCATTAGTCATGGCTCCAGGATTCTCTTTGTGTTGCCTCATGCCATAACCAGTGTTGCTATTGACTCCGTATATACCTCCTCGAAGAAACACCTCACCATTTCCACCACTACTACCTCCAGCATTCTGCTGGTTAAACAACCTCACTCCATATCCAGTTGCGCCATCGCCGCCACTGCCTCCAGCATCTCCATTAGGGCATATCATTCCAGATCCACCGTTCATGTCTCCTACATACCCTTGATATGGTGTTGCAGCATTATTGCCCGCACTACCTCCAACATGCCCATAAGTCACCAAAGTACCTCTCCCTGGAACGACTCGACTAAGCCCCTGAGACAACACAATATTATTCACACTACTGCCTCCAGCATCTCCATTAACAGGGCCTATACCATTGGCCCAAATGCCACTTCCAACGCCAACATTCTCTTCTGGAAAATTGAAGGAAATGGCTTGATTAGATGTACCGGCGCTACCTGTCCAACATGCCAAAGGGTACCATTTGTCCTTTTTGCTACCACTGCCGCTACCAGCATTTCCAGTCTTCATCATATCTAAGAACCATTGATCCAATGAAGAAGATGCATCACCCATATTGCCATTATTGTCATTGCCGCCGCCTCCTTCTTTAGCCTCTAGGATCATTTCCTCCTCAACCACCGGGCCTTCGATTACCGATGGAGCACCTCCAGATTGCGGTGCACCGTCAGTTCGTCCGAGAAGTTCAATCCTTCTTTCAATTTCTTTATTCTTTTCACTTACATAGTAGAATAAACTACACATCTCATCATTAGCAAATTCACTAGTGGTTTTACCGGACAGATAAAGTTGTTGCATGAGGTAGGTGTTCTCTAACTCCTTGTTTTTCGCCACAAGCTTTTTCTTCTGCCCGATTAACTTGTTGATCTGCTCCTTGAGGTAGCCTTCATGGTTAACCATCTTTCGGCTTCTCTCCACTTGGGAGAAGCTTTGGTACCGCACAAGGAGTTGCTCCACCTCTGGTCTAGATGGCCAAAAGACAGGCTCATTGCTGTCTGGAGAATAGACAACGGCACACGCGTTCACATCGCAGAGAGTGCTCAACTCACTCACTTTTTTCATCAGCCCTTGCCTCCTCTTCTTGAGGCTAGCTTTCCTAGAAGTATCGTTTTGTATGAAAGCAAGCTTAACCTTTCTTCTTGCCATGGTCAATGGTTTGTTCAATTCTCTCTTTTCTCGTGCTTTGAAACCCAAGGTGTACAAGTGCGTTTATAGGGGGGGTGCGAGCAAGTTCAAATGAGATTCTCCAATTTCAAGCAACTTAATTAATTTCTCTTCTCATGGTAATTCAAATTCTTTCGATCTTTGAATGTGAGATCTACATATTTTGCAATTTAACGGAAAGAATTTCATTGCTACAAAATGCCAGGATTTAAGGCCATATCTAGAGTATTGCAAAGTGTTTTCCATTTAGAGAGGTCGGCGGCAAAAGGAATAGTAAGGTATTAATGTTTGGAAGAGCTTTACATAGCACTTATCTGGGGAGGGAGGACAACAATCTATGATTTATCTACATCACAAGGACTATAGATAGTTATACTTCAAGCACTGATTGATGGTCGATCGATCACTTATCAATTGATGAATGATTAGACACTAGATTTCTGAAGAGACGTGATCACTGTTAAATATTTATGCCTTATGTAAGCTGCTTTATATTGACTAGATTATTTTCTTTTACGGCAAAGGCAACGCTTCAAAGTTAGCCTCCTCAAACCCTAGTTTGACCGGAGATAAGAATTACAGCTAATATCTCCAATTGAATTGACCATTATGTTAAATAAGATAAGGCACAATCAATAGCTCATTCATGACAGCATAAATTGATGGAATATCAATAAGCTCTAAAGAATTGCTATCCGATGATATGCATACGCAATCCAACTAAAAGTAGGAATCCCGCCCACTATATTATTGTCATTGAAAATATTTCAAAACGCTTCTAGAAGTCTCTGCCATGAGCATTGATTGGCCTTAATGCCCAAACCAATGTTCAACCTTAGGTAAACCCCAGTCAAAAGCAATATGGAAAATCTTCTATGAAGATTTATGCCCAAATTCTAGTCTTTATCTAATGAAGATAGCTTCTCCCCACTGCCAAATAAACTCATTCAATTAGTTAAAACCGTCTTAAAACAAATTGATTCAAGAAAAAGAGGTTAAAGTTACGTGGACAGAAGAAGTCACATGAAAACATAGAGGCAAATCTCGTCCTCTTGTTTTGTGAAAAGAAAATTATTTTTGTTTGACTTTTACGCATCAAACAAAAAAAAAATATTCAGTTTTCATGGTGTGTACTTTAATTCCTCATGTCTTAAGATATTTTGTGGCCTTACATATATTATTTTCTGGTCATATAAATGTTCTTAATTGATTATGCGTTATAAGAATTCAATTTGTTTCATTAATCTTGGACAATGCAGCACTTCAAGTGTGTGAAATAGCAACAAAAAAGACCATGTATAACTTGATTTCCTGAATAACGCAAGGGGAGAAAATAGAAAATATAGGTATAATCACTACAAATGATAATTCATGCTTCATAATTTGTCAACTACTGAATGATAGATATCAATTTTTTCATCATGAGCAACTCACAATGACACACAATGAAGATTTCACAGATCTAGATGTACAAGCTAACAGAACAGGATAGCAACTTTTCGGCTTCACACAATTAAATGACCAGAAAATTGGATAATCCATTATTTCCTTCAACACAAAAGAGACAATGTCTTCAGGCAGAAAATGTTAAGGAATAGATATAATAGATAGAAGTTGTTGAACATAAATTTTGGAAGGAAAAAAACAAGGGCATTCAAAGGAACTGAATACTGTTGGGATTCTTTCAGAAAGAAGTGGCGATACACTCTTCAAATTTGGTATAGTCAGAAAGCAAACTATCGTACTGTGAGCTTGTCAGAAATGATAGAGACAGTTTTTTGTTCTTAATTTGGTATATGGGTGGCTCCCCCTCTTAAGTCTTTTTGCATAGGAGCAAAATTGATACATTACTAGTTCATAATCTTCTAGTGATCAGGAAAGAAAGCGAAACCTCACAAAGGGCAGTTTGACTCATATCAAATAACTCCAAACGGTTAATTAACATAAAACATAAACCTCATTTTGTTGAAGAAGAATTAGTCACGTAAAACTATTAAGAGTGGCAAGACTTCAATTTACCAAAAGCAACAGGATGGAAGGAATGAGACACGAAACGGAAGCCGATATCCATCAACCCTAATCATGCGTTCGATCAAGTTGACTTTACATACTCATTATCCCTCCGCACATGCACGGACTTATTTTGCCGATGTAATTATCCAAAATAATCAACCAAGAACAAGAGATAAACAACCATATCCTCAGGTACCGTGTTACCCATATACAAAACAATCAAACATCCGAACTCTAGTCTCTACAAACACATAACTCAGCTCCAAAAACTTTCCTTTAAAGACTATCGAGACGCAATTTTGGCGATATTTCCTCATTACTGACATAAAGGGTTCGCTTTCGACCAAGCACCACTCCGATCCAGTTTTCCGGGAACAACATATCCACCTCGACTCCCCTAAAACTAACAGGGACGCCAACAAAAACCAAGTCACAGCTCGACTAGAATGGCTATGGCCTTCTCGTTGCCACAACTAGTCAATGCACTCAAATGCAGGCATGAAATCCAACTCTTCTACACAATCATACATTAACCAGCGAGGGAAAAGCAAACAAAGGATCGATCTCGACAACCATTCAAAATTCAACACGAGCGAGAAAACGGAAATCATCGGAGCAGGTCGAAGTTGGGGGACTCACTTGACAGGGTCGCCGCTCCTCTCCGCGGCGCCGGTCCCCTCCGGCGAGGCCCCCTCCCCGCCGGCGAACTTCCCCTTGTTCCTGAGGCCGGACCAGATGGCGCGGAGGGCGGAGAACGCCGAGAGGGCCGTGCACGCGAGCCAGAGCCGCCGGGCGCCGAAGCCGGGCGGGGCGGCGGTCCAGAGGAACCGGAACTTGCTGCGGAGGCCGAGGTAGACGAGGCCGGTCCAGCGGGGGCGCCAGGACCAGCCGATGAGGAGCCCGATCATGACGGCGAGCCAAATCGGGACCGCGCACAGCAGGATGTCGACGAATGTCTCCGCCACCGACGGCTTCCTCAGGAAATCGGCGAGATCGAAGAACGCGGCGTCCTCCATGATCCCCCCCCCCCCCTCCCCCCTCGCGCGGCCGACGACGATGCCTCCTCCGGCCGACGGCGATGCTTCCGGCGATCGGCGACAGCGTCCGTCTCCGACGTATAAGGATCAGAGAGAGAGAGAGAGAGAAGGAGAGCGATCACGGAGGAGAGGAGAGAGAGAGGGATTGGGGCGGGGTGGTCGGGATGACGTGGAAGCGATCGGGACCGTTGGATCCGGGTCGCCGGCACGTTTAAGAAATGCGATCGGGCGGTACGGGGGCATGTGTGACTGGATAAGTGACAGGTAGAGAGAGAGAGAGAGAGATTCTTCTTCGATTGGAGGAGATATCCTCGTCAGGTGAGAAGCGGGGAGAAAAAGATCAGATGCGTGACGTCATGCGGTAGTTCGGTAGGTAGAAGGCGGGGTCGGTCAGGTCTCGCCCCGGTGATCGGTTTCGGAATCAGCTGCTTTCGAGATTACTAGCCCGTGACTTAGGTACCGCATGATAACCATTCTGGTTCTGTCCAGAACTGATTTTTTGTTCAAAGAATCAGTTTTGGACCAGAAATCTGTTTGTTAACGCAATTTCATTTTTCTATTTCTGGGACAAGTTTTTGTTCCAGAACCGATTCTGAACTAGAAATCAGAACCAAAAAAGAGTTTGTTTTCTATTTCTAGACCAAAAATGAGAATCATTTCTGAGAGAACTCTTTCTTCAAAACGCATGTTCATCTGGAAGTCACGATCTTTGAGGTGGGAAAAAAAAGCAAAAAATCAAAAATTTCAAAACTTCACATAATGGTTTAAAATCTGTGACTACCCACTTTGAGCGAAACTTAAATTTTTTTAGGTGCCGAAAAAAATAAAAAAATAAAAAATAAAAAATTTCACAAAATGGCTTAGAATACCTATGGCCGCCTACTTTGAGTGAAATTTAATTTTTTTTAGATGCCAAAAATAATAAAAAATAAAAAAAAAATCTAAAATTTAAAAACTTCACAGAATGTCTTAGAATACATGTGGCCACCCAATTTGAGCGAAATTTAATTTTTTTTAGATGCCGAAAAAAATTAAAAAAAAGCAAAAAATAAAAAATTTCAAAAATTCACAGAATGGTTTAGAATACCTGTGGCCATCCACTTTGAGCAAAATTTAAATTTTTTTATGTGTCGAAAAAAATAAAAAAATAAAAAATTTCAAAACTTTACATAATGGCTTAGAATACCTGTGGCCACCCACTTTGAGCGAAATTTAATTTTTTTTAGATGCCAAAAAAATAAAAATAAGCAAAAAAGCAAAAATTTCAAAACTTCACAGAATGGCTTAAAATACCTGTGGCAACCCACTTAGAGCGAAATTTTTATTTTTTTAGGTGCCTAAAAAAATAAAAAAAAAGCAAAATTTTAAATTTTAAAACTTCACATAATGGCTTAGAATACATGTGGCCATCCACTTTGAGCAAAATTTAAATTTTTTTAGGTGCCGAAAAAAATAAAAATTTCAAAACTTCACAGAATTGCTTAGAATACCTATGGCCACCCACTTTGAGCGAAATTTAATTTTTTTAGGTGCCGAAAAAAATAAAAATAAGCAAAAAAGCAAAAATTTCAAAACTTCACAGAATGACTTAGAATACCTGTGGCCACCAACTTTGAATGAAATTTTATTATTTTAGGTGCCAAAAAAAGAAAAAATCAAAAATTTCAAAACTTCACAGAATGGCTTTGAATACATGTGGTCATCCACTTTGAGTGAAATTTAATTTTTTTTAGCTGCCGAAAAAAAATTGAAAATAAAAAATACCATTTGGGCACCTAAAAAAATTAAATTACACTCAAAGTGGGTGGTTAGAGGCATTATAAGTCATTCTGTGAAATTTTAAAATTTTTGATTTTTTTATGTTTTTATTTTTTTTCGGCAACTAAAAAAATTTAAATTTCACTCAAAGTGGATGGCCACAGATATTCTAAGTCATTCTATGAAGTTTTGAAACTTTTGATTTTTTGCTTTTTTTTCACTTCAAAAAATTAAAATTTCACTCAAAGTGGGTGGCCACAGGTATTCTAAGCTATTCTGTGAAGTTTTGAAATTTTTGAGTTTTTGAATTTTTTTAGGCACCTTAAAAAATTTAAATTTCACTCAAAGTGGGTGGCCACATGTATTCTAAACTATTCTGTGAATTTTTGAAATTTTTGAATTTTTTGATTTTTTGATTTTTTTTGGGCACTTAAAAAAATTTAAGTTTCACTAAAAGTGGGCGGCCACGGGTATTTTAAGTCATTCTATGAAGTTTTGAAATTTTTGATTTTTTGATTTTTTTTGAAAAAATTCAACAAATTTCCTATTTTCTAGAAAAATATGAATTTTTTTTATCAAACGGGTTTCTTTTATCAGAAACTCATCTTGGAACCAGAAATAGAAAAATCTATTTCTGTTTCAGGAACTCAATCCGGAACAGAATGATTATCATTCGCTACCTTACTTTCCATGCCCCGGTTTTGGAAATTGGGACCGCACTGGTTATAATTATGATTCCGGGCCAGTTCCCAAATCAAATAATTAATGTTGTGTGTCGAATTTTGAGGTTATGGTTAGTTTTGGTCTTGCTAGTCAGAGTGGTCTTGTGCACCTGCTTAGAATGGAGATCATGGGGTTTCCTTTCTCTTTGGTTGTATCTCGTCATTTTTGTTTAAATAAGATATATAAAATCGATTTTTAATTCGGTTTGATCGGTTCCCGAGTTGAGTCGGCAGTTCTATCGTAAGAACAGAAAAGTCGAACCAGTTAAAGGCCGGTTCGAGGATTTTGGACGCGACAACCAGATGGGTTCTTCCCAAAATTGGCCCGCAAACGATAGAGTAGTACCGGTTCACTCCAATTCTCGGGTTGAACTAGTCCGGTTGCTTGTTTCGCAAAGAAAAAGAAAACGACAATGGATGGAAACCATCTCTCCTGCTTTTTACAATGTTTGGGCACGAGTAAGAAAACCTAGGTAGCCTTACCCCAAATCGTAGCATATTGGTCCTGGGTTAGTGAAGTAGAAATGTGGATGCGGTTATTGCGGTTTTAGTTTTTTAGATCGAATGAAAAATGACTGATCTCAACATTCACGAAATAAAAAGGCCTGCCGTTCATCGCACGAGTATAATTCATGATCTTCGCTCAAAGTGACTATCGCATATCACCTAATGCTCGGACTATATGTTATGGTATTTTAAGTCCTTTATATATATATTTCGTGAGTCGACTTTTTCTAAGAAACAATGATATTTCAAGTATCTGAACTTTAGATCGCGTTTCAACTGTGCACCTAAATTTTTTTTCTCTATTCAATTATGTACGTCAAAATTTTAAATTCCGTCAATGTAGTTCTTGCTGACGCGGCTTGTTTTCTTTGTAAAAATTGTCCAAAAATGCTGCAAAAATGCTGCAAAAATGTCCAGAAGCAGAACATGACATATATGTTTTTTCACTTTGAAAGGCACTGTTTTTCTCAGTGGCATTGTAAAATGGAGTGGAGGAGCAAGCAGAGCCCAGTAAGTCAGCGATCAATCCTCTTGCCGCATGCCCCGGCTGGTGATACCAACAGAAATCAGCAAGTCAGCGATCAATCCTCTTGCCGCATGCCCCGGCTATGATCCACCGCTCTTCGGATCGCAGTTCGTTCGATCCTAAAGGAAGGAGAGAATCCAGTTGATGGAGCAACTCCCGAGAACGCGAGGCATGTTTTCCGCAGCAGCACAATTAAGTGTGAGCAATGCAAGTACACTCTTTTTGACTCAAGTGTCGGAGGGTCCTCTGTCGAGAACCGGGGTACTTGTTCACCTTGCGGTGCGCATCTGGTTAGCCGAATTTGTGCATCCAGACTCGATAGATTCCTCGCGAATCATTGCATCAAGCAAGTACTGTCTTGACAAAGGTGTTCAGTAATATGGCATAACTTCACATCATCGAAGATGTCGAGCCAGATCACGTAGTCCAAATAACAAAAAACGCTTACTCCTGAAGAGATCATGCAGCAAGCAAGCAGAAGGCGGAGAAACTTGGCGAAGAAAACAGATGATACGCGAAATTTGCTCTTATCAGAAAATGGGAACTCCCTTTCTATGTAAAATAACACAGATACATTTCATAAGTTACACAGGCCAATGCAAGAAATCCTCCAGGCCCAGCAATTAGAAGATGAGACACTCGGGGAAACGAAGGAAAATGAAACCCTTTCCTTCTTATAACTTAGATAACTTATCCACGGCTCAATCAACTCTCCTAAATTTCTCATTTATGAGAGTTCACACTGAACTTTATTCACACACGGACCGACACCAGTATACTCACTCCTTTCTTTTGTTTTCTCCCCATTGCTCAGATTCATGGAAATGTCCCCGAGCACGAATTTGCCTTACTCTCACCCTTCTGGAAAAAAATTGACATCACCGCAGCTCTTCCTGCGACCGAGTCTTGGAGATTTTGCACGTGTCGTCGGTATCTGCGATCACGAAGGTTCAAAAGATAGTATTTGAGCTTGTTATGGACATTTGCAAAGATCACTACACTAAGGAAAAATGAAACTTCATCCACGGCAAGATCTCTTTGTCAATGATCTATGATAAGCTCTGATTTCTACGGTATATTACCTTTTTCAGTTCAACCTTAGGCGGAGGACCCTCATAGTAGAAGCTCGGCATTGGGTTAGCCTTAAACGTCAAGTTCTTTCTGAGTTGCTTGATAGTTGCTTCTCTCTCCTCCTTTGAAGTTTCAAGAGCGACAAAGAGACAGCGGCAATTACATTCATTACATATTGCATTCATTAATCACTAAATATGTGCGGATCTAAGGAGCACAGAAACAAAGCTGGGAAAAAAAAAGTTTGCACATGACATCCTCGAATGCAACTAACCGTGTTCCTCGCATCAGCCTGGACCTTTTGTGCCTCCAGCGCTCGGTGTTTCTCCTCCAACTTTGAAAGAAACTAAGGAAAATGAAGGGAGAGGGCAAAATTTGGATTAACAAAGCAACTAATATGGGCATTATCTATGCATCACCCAGATGTATCAGTTCAAAAGGTGGAAGGGGTATATAAAGTTTCCTGGAAGCTTTACCTCTCGCCTTTTCTCCGCACGTTCGGTGCTTCTAAATACTGGAGCTGATGCAGGAGTCATTCGTGATTTTGCGCCTTGTCTGGATGCGATAGTGCTTCATATAATGGAGAAAACACAGTATACAAGTGGAGAAGAAAGAATAAGAAGGCAGCTTGAAAAGGGGTAGAAATTTAGGCCGTGGCAATAAGAGCATACCACGAAGAGACAGATAAAGAGTCTTCCTCATCTGGACCCTTCTTGTTATATCGGAACAAGGACTTTCTCGATACCAAATCCATCAACTGCTGCAGCCAAAAAGAATTAACTTGCACATCATCCTAGAACATGAAGTGTATGTTTGACAGGGTACAAGAGTCAATTGCCTGATAGATTTCACTATAATTGTTCCAATGGTCGATACGATTCCTAAATAAGCAGTGATATATGCAGAGCAAAGGGGCAGTTCTCTGGAATTAGTCTTTAATATAAGAATGAAGAACCAAAGTCTTAGGTCCAGATCTCATGACTGTGCTCAAATCTTTTTGTTACATTTCCGTGTGCAACTTACTGCAAACATTACGTATATAATCTAAGTGTTAAGTGAATGTATATGATATTGCTTGATGTTCCAAGTTTGAACTCAGACTCACTTGTCTTGGGGTCACCTGATTTGGCTGCATGGCATGAGAACGCTGCACTGGTTTACCATTGGATACCTTCATAGTATCATCAGCGGGACGAGCTCCAAATGAAGCGCGCTTTTCGGTTGCGAGGGAAAAAGGGTGTGGAACGGTGTACTTAGTTCGGTTATTATGCTGCGCTGTCCTCTTTGATGAATCCTTAACAGATGATTTCGACTTTTTACCCTCCTTTGCTCTCTCAGCATCTGATCTGGCCTCATTTTTTGAGCTCAACACTGTTTGATCCTTTTCAAATTTTCCGGCGCGTTTTGCCTTGGAGGATGTCACGACCGAGCTTTCGTTTGTACATTCCTTCACTTCATACTCCCTTGTTTCTGAGCTCTCCTCTGAACTTTGAAGTTCGGGATCTCCAGCAACATTGTCCTTTGAGTCTGCAAGATCGCACTGATTGGGAAGAGATTCAGGACTGGGATCATGGCAATCGCCGTTCGAATGTGCTACGACACAATCCGGCTCCTTATCCATGCATATCTCCGTGATCACCACCACCATTTCACTGAAGCATTGCACAGACTACGATGTAGGATCATATGGCAAAATAAATCAGGTAAAGAATCGAGCGCAGTGCCAAAACTTGAAAAGAACATATATCATTTGCTTCATTTCAACCTGCCCTTTATTTTATTTTTCATCTTCTTTTAGTTTCAGATGTAGATCATATGGTCCATCACTCATACAGAGTGTAATTAAGCCGACATCCACTACTTATCTGCACTCATTAATCTTAATAAAACATGTTATCGAAGTCAATCATCTCTTATAGCTCATGAACGAAAAGAGAATCCCCCAGAGTGTAATTAAGCCGATATCCGCTACTTATCTGCACTCATTAATCATAACAAAACATGTTATTGAAGTCCATCACCCCTTATAGCTCATGAACGAAAAGAGAATACCGATTTCTCAAGGAAAAAAAGGGGAAAATATCTCAAGTCTTTCATTATCACGAGGTACAGTACCATATCATTCCTTAGAATGAGCACTAAATGTGCAATAAGACATGAATTGAGCAACGAGATTGTAGTGGGTCGATTAAGATCTCTCTCTATCCCTTTCTGATTAGCAAACAAAAGAATCTTGAAGCACACGGTACACAAACCAATCGACCCCAAGAACTCAATGAAACATCGAAGCAAATGAAGGAGGGCCACCCACAGAAGAAGCACCAACAATGGTTACCTACTTAATAACTCCCAGGAGAACCTATAAACGAAAGTGTTGCACACTAACAACACACGAAATGCGATTCGACCCTCATTCATGGCACAAAAGTAGAAGGCGTGACGACCAGATTCAGGAAATGAAGCTTGGAACAAGAACAAGAAACACCAACAGCAGTAACACGGGTAGAATGTTGTAAAGAAACTCACAGCTTAACTCTTGCTTTCTAAGACTGAAGGACTTGTCTGGCTGAGTGTCTCTGCGTTGTGAAACTTGAGTGTTTTCTCTTTACTTCCTTAAATCCTGCAGTTTCTTGGTTAACGGCGTTAAGATGTAATATTATTTTTTTGTCAGAATTTTATTTGACCATTTTCGTGTGCCGTTCATTTCTTGGAAGATTTGTTACTTTAAAAGAGTTAGCAGTAAATTGCGTATAAAATATTATCGATTTTTATCCGATCGCTTCTAAATTACCGGCGGTTTCAATAAATTCTCGACTTTTATTTGCGTAACTTATCATCTGGTTAAAGTTACAAATTCGTATATGAAATTGCTGATCTTAATATGAGGATGTTCTAAACTTTTCCCGAATATGAAGTTATCAGCAGTTACTCACTTTTATTTAAACCACCTATCAACTTTTATTTCATAGATTCCGAATTACTAACTTTTAGTGAAAATACTTAACAAACTCATGTATCAAATTACCAGCTACATTTGAGTTATTTACCCACTTTTATTCAAGTTACTTAGCAACTCAACCGATTTAATTGATTCCGCAATACCCACCTTTCTAATAACGAACCGTCTTTACTCACCACCTCGTACATCAAACCTAAAAGCTTTTTGACAGGTTAAATTACCAAATTATATTATATTATCAATTTTTATCCGATCACATTCGAGTTACCAACTCTTAAAACGAAATTACCAACTTGATTTTAGTTTCTTACTATTATTTTAAACGAAAATTTACCAACGAAAAAGGGGACTTTCTAACTTATATTTGAGCCACTTACCAACATCGATTTGATCGGTACCGAAATAACCGAGTTTTCTAATAAGAGATATTCCTAGAGTTGTGTGCTCTTTCCACTGCCTGAGAGAAATTAAGCCTAAAATATCAGATTCTAGGCATGACGGAGTCAAGGGCACTAAGCTTGAGCTTCACCATATCCAATGAAGAAGTAACGTCTCATTCCATCCCATCTAAGCATTACCATTTTTGCAATTGCATTTATCTATTTTCCTTTTCATGTGATTTAGCAAAGACAGCAAAAGCTTTAGGCACGACGTCAAGATGCTTGCAAAAGTGGGGTCTCAGATGTTGGTGTGGTTAAGACATTCATGTCTTTGATTAGTTCCAAAATTTGGGTTGAAAGAGAAAGCCTTCCTTCAAATCATTGCTTTAGGCCCCATGTTTGATTGTGCTGTCATAACCCTTTTGATAAAGCCCTCGCATCCTCTTTAAATTATTTGGAACAGAGAGCCCGTTCAGCGTACTTGCGACTGAACGATAATCTTATCGTGTTGTAGAGTGATATAATGTATTGTAGTTTGCATTTTTGGTAATGTACGTCGTAAAACTTCGCTAGCTTAAGTACTTCTCTTTGTTTCTTTTTGGCAATTCGATTCGAGTAGTACATGTATTGTATAGTTATAAGAGAGAAGCTGATGGAGGGAGTAGTGACGCTACCTACAAAAAGAAACAAGGTTTTGTGATATGCTCGTGAAGTAGATGCTGAGAGGGAGTGTCAAAGAAGACAATACCAACCTCTCTAATAGAGCAACGCATCACCCCTCAAATGGATAACTTGAATTACCAGCAAGACTTTTTCATATGGCGAATGTCACCTAATATATCTGTCTAGATCCGGGTCTATGAATCCGATATGGCCACCGCTGTTGGATTTTTATGGGATCCACACTGAACTCGCATGGTAACCGCCGTGATGTATCCAAACCATGATGGGCCAAATCCAGGTGAGGAATTCTTAGACCATTTTCTCATTTGGAGAAGTCTCAAACTATGAACAACATCGGATAATATTAGGTTGCTGTCGGTAGGCATGGAGTTGTGCAACTATCGCCAGAGATGACAGGATCTCTTTGGCCTTCAAGTGGAGTTTACGTGTTTGTAACCTCTGTACACCTTTTCTTAGAGCAGCAAGAGAGATCTTACCAATCAAGCTCCGTAAAACAGAAACACTGTTTTTTACTTGAAAAATAGCAGAACATGGAGTACCTGTATCTGTTTGGTTTTGTAGTACATTCTCATCATTTCTAATCGGCATGGTTCAATACTTCAATGGGATCGTGTTCTCCCAAGTTTTGAGAAAAAGAAAGAATGTTTGTCACAACCCCGCAAATTATAATAGCTCAAGAGGGCTGCGAAGTTCATGTTTGAGCGCCCTGATGAGAGATTGAATACAATGCCATGGGAGGAGAATACGAAAAACACTTCCATATATGAAGAACAAGTCGTGGTAATTAACAATTTACATCGAAGAAAGTGGTTTCATTTGAGTGACAGCTTCGCGAGGGTCAAGGCTAGTACCTTGATCCCATTGGTTATGTCCTGAATGGAAGAATGCTCTTCAGGTCTGTGACTGTATCCTGCCAAACCAAAGCAGACAATATTATTATTACCAACCGCATTGTTCCTTTACTTAGTTGATAACCAAGCAAATGGACATTCTAATGTTCAACATGTGCCTGATTTATGTCCTCCAGAACAATACACGCGGACTGACACCTAGGTGTTCCAAAATACCATGTGATGCTCCAACAAATGCTGTACTTCCCAAAAATAGCACTTGATATAATTCATACTGCATATGATTAAAGAAGCAAGCTCATGAAGCCTTTTAGTGGTAGAATTGCACAATCCAATCGAGAGTAACATGCCTTCTCGACAGTATGAACCAAACTTAACTGACGCACGCTGAGAAAACCTAATGCTTCGAAAAAGGGTGAATATAGAGTATCGTATTGACATGCCTCCATGACAATATGACAGTGATTGTGGAAAGAAAACATGGGGAGCTCAAACCTTTGTAGCAGGGAATAAATATCATGCCCATTGGAGAAACCCTGCAGAGCAATGACTAAGAAAATTAGTGACTGTGCCATCACGTTGGAGAAATATGGCATAAACATCGTCTCCTGACATTTGGCTGCAATTTTAGCATTACTTGAGATGACGCTACTGATTCTCGGAATGGGGAGGGAAATAAAGGACTGAATTGTAAAGCTAAAGCAAGGACCAGAGGTACGATTTCCTTTGCTATGTTGTCTTTTGCAATAAGCAGCTGGACGGTAATGTTTAAATTCTCTCTCTTGCTCTCTCTCTCTCGACAAAGAGAGATCTTCTCATTTTGCATGCATTACCTGGCCATAAACAGCGAATCGTGATAAGCTCTACTGATCATTAACTTGTGAGACAGCTTCAGATCCTTTGATGCAGATTCCATTGCCCTAATGACCGATTCATCAGAAAGAGCTGGTGGATCCTGATTGACAATCTTAAACTCGGCAAGCTTGACACCACGGTCTTTGGCAATCCTAATAGCGGATTGATGTATCTTCTCCATTACAACATTTCTTCTTTCTTCATCAATATCACGAGTATCTGCCAAATCATCAGGAACAAAATTACATGTTTGCATACCAATCAATAGGGCGATAACATCACTCAGTTCTATGAGAATGCCCATGTGCGGAACATATCATTTGCTTGAAATATTCATTGCTAACAGTGAAACACATTAAATAAATTCTATTATCGGAGACAATAATAGATGTTGGTATGACCAATCAGACACTCACTAAAAGTTATCCGCAAACAAAAAGATTTACCTATTTCCAGGTGCGATTTGCTGGGGATGCTGTTGATTGCTCCGGGATGAAGTTGCAGGATACCTCGATGAAAAGACTAGACTGAATATGTATTTGACTTACAAATCTTTTGTAGTTAGATGTGAAAAAACAAAGAAGTTACATACCCACTGTCCCAACAGTATCTATGGATCCAGATTCTAAAACATGCTTCTCAACAGCTAATGCCAGCTCCGCCGCTGCCAGTCCAGCATCATTTCTGCCAAGGAAATTAATCCACTCATTGTGGACTGAAAAGCAAGATGCTAAAAAGTGCCAATTTGACCTTACAATAGAAAAACTTTAAGGCAAGGAAATGGAATTCAAGTATACTAGCATGAAGCATTTTATCTGCTTAAGAAGAAGAAAACGAAAGTTGTCTTTCTCCACATAAATAGATATAAGAAAAGTACTGAAACTGCCTAAGCAAGAAGCAGATGACTTACAGCATGAAAATGAAAATTCAAAATAAAACAAGCAAAAAATGGAGTAAAAGTTTTTCCGTCAAAGAATTCTATCTCGATGATCATGTTCAAAAATCATAAACCACCCTAATGATAGAAAACCTAAAATTGGTTTAACTTTAGCTGTTAAAGAACTTCTTGATGAAGTGCACTGACCTGTACGGCATCAACACAGCACCTGCATGTCCCCCACCTCCTTCAAAGTCTACTTTTATGCTTGCAGGAGCAGCAATAGCAGTTACTATGCCAATAGATATACCTGTGGAAAAAAGAATGCAGAATAAACAGATGATGTGCGATGATTAAGAGATTGGCCTGAAGGTACAAACAAGACCCAACCTTCCTCTTCAAGAATAGGGCCCTGCTCTATGTGCAACTCCACGAAACCAGCATAAGCTCCTTTCTTTAGAAATATGCTCATTAAATCCACTGGATCTTGCGCATAACCAGCATATTTGGCGGCGTCTAGAAAGGATATATTGTGAATGTCGACTGTTGTTTCCAGTGCCTTCAAGAGTGCCTTGCTCCCCGCCATTAAGCGGCTGCAAATTTAAGGTTCCTTGTTAAAAAGCTTAGCCACTAAGAGGGATAATTTAATTACTACCTGCAAGCCATGTGTATTTGTAGAATCATGCGAGTGTAAGTCTGAAGATACACTCAAACAACTTGTTTTAAAGCACGACTGACATGAATAATAAGTGTATGAGCACAAGTAATTTACTCCATGTAGTCCCAACCTTCCCAAACAACTAATTCCAAAGCGTGTAGGTTCTTCTGAAGTGAACACTATAATCTCCAGTGATCTTTTCGGCTTGAAGCCTGACCTGAAACCATTAGCTAGTTTGAGAAGAACAATATAATAGATTCAAGCAAATGTTAACAAGATGAAACACAGACAAGTGAAGACATCCAAAGATACACAGAATCCAATGTATAGCATACTTAGTCAAGGTTCAAACTTGAGAATGCTTTTGTTTTAATCATTCAGTCCCTGGTGCAAGATGCTACTCCTAACAAATATTGTTCTTGGGGATCAATTTATTTTACAATTCACAAGCAGCAAGCAAAGTCCAGCATTTGTTTTTATAATAAGCACAGAATCCTCGAGCCTAAGGTGCTCAATTGTTGCTCCTATACCAAAAAGCACGTGTTAGAGAACTGAATTTAAAAAATGAGCCAGTCGCGAACCTTCTTAGTACATTAATGGCCTCTATGGCTCCCAGAACACCAACAACTCCATCGTACTTTCCGGAGTAAGGAATAGCATCCATGTGAGAACCTGTAGCGACAGCAGGAAGCTCTGGTTCAAGGCCTTCCCTGCAACATTGAGGGTAAAATGTTCATATACATGGCAATTTGCATAGTTCAAGCTAAAATATGGGCAATGAAAGTTATGAGTACAGAAACATAAGAGAAGACCCCAATTTTGATAAGCAGATCCAAAGTAACCAATCAGAAGGCTTAAGTTTTGCAACATATATGACAAGATTGGCTTGCAAATGTCTCAAATCTAAATCTCGGTACCATCAATTTAAGGCAACACAAAGATATTCACTGAAAGTTTAAACAGATAAAACCTCACCATCGACCGAATATGTTACCCACAGCATCCTCTCTAACAGACAGGCCAGCAAGTCCCATCAAGTTCTTAACGTACCTGAGATTAATAGTTCAATAAGTGAAACAAAGAGGTCACAAGAACACACAAGTTGCAAAAGAAATTATATGTAAATTCAGCATTACAAATCCTTCATAAGCACTTCAAATGGTGAACTATAATGTTCTCAAATCACAAAAAACATTCATATTTCAGAGTCAAGTCTTCCTATCCTTTCAGTACTAGCATATTAAGGATCAAAGAGCACATTTGCATGGACCGATCATGATCAACATGGGCTTCAGTTTACAGCTTACACCAAGTAAGGTCCTAGTTAGGATTTGGTGGTGAGAAAGTCAGAAGAAGGATGATGATCATATAGTTGGATGGCCAACACTAGCCATAAGGACTACATGCTTTTCACTCAATAGTTATGTCACTGTAGCTATGACTGGAAAAAGTTTATCAATAAAGCTACATTCCATCCAGTCTAACTTTGTTGCATTCTCTTAGCAAATCAAACGAGAAAGCTAAGTCACTGAAAATCAATGAAAAAGAAAGACAAGAAAGTTCGCCTTCAACTTTAAAGCATCATAAAAGAATCGTCAATTCAATCGTCAATACTCCAGGTAATCGGTAACAATGATTCAACGCTCCCTTCCTACATGTCTGGCTGTGTCCTCTGCATGTGTCTACAATGAGAATATCTATGCATGCTCACAAGAGTGAGACAGAAATTAATGCGCGTTCCAACTAAAATTCCAAAAATATGAAACAATTCTTTAGAAATTATGTATTAAATTTTGCATCAGCTACCTCTACTCATGATAGAGAGCAAACATGAGATTCTACATTTTGAACGAAGGAAAGAAACGTCAATCTATCCCATGGTTGAGCATGACCAAATACAAACTCACCTCATCACCCACAAAGTTGCAAGTCTCTAGCAATCACAACCTTGTGAGATTGACATAGGACCTAAAACAGTACACAATCCTCTTCTGTATTTAACCATAAGGCTAAAATCAGAATAGTCAACACACGGCACCAGTTGACTGTGTTTATCCAGCCTTGTATGCATATATCCAGCTCTACCTAACACCTTAAGCTTTTAGTTCAAATTTATAATATAAAATCAAGGCTCAGTTTCAATCTCTTCGTGCTCCGTTTGATGGATCATTTAGCATGCTGGTTCTTATCTGATTTTACTCTCCAATCAACTCTCAACATGTCGTTTCCGTCCAATTTACACGAAAAAAAAAACAAAAGGGGTACTTTTCTTTTAATCCACATCACTTGTTTATAGCTTTATCCTGGCTCCATAGACATATCTTGTTAGTTCAATATACACATACCATCCTCCTACTAATAATTCTAAAGATTGCTCGAGTCAGAGAAATCCGAAACAACATACGAACATAATGAAGAGCAACCAAATTGAACATTTTGTGACAGTATCGATACCTGCGGGCCATCACATCCTTGTCAGTGTAAAGGACCCTCGTCACTGATGGAGCGGGCGCATCGGATAAACTCGCAAGCTCGTCAATCTGATCATTAAAAAAAAAAAAGAGCTTAACTTTTTTATAAACGCTGACCACCAGCTGAAACAAACAAAGAACGACACATGAGAGAGAGAGAGAGAGAGAGAGAGAGAGAGAGAGAGAGAGAGAGAGAGAGAGAAGGCATGAGAACTACCTGCTTTTGAAGATTTTCGCCCTCGACGGGCAAGGAAGAGAGAGGATCGGCGACCCAAGAAGGCGATTCCCGAAATGGGTATCCCGAGAACTCCTCCATCGTTCGGATTGTCGGGTCTTCCGCCTCAGCGTGAGCCAAGACCGCAGACACCGAGGAGAGGGACAGCAGCAGAAACCCAAGTGAGAGCGAAGGAGATGACCTCAGCAGACCCATCTTTTGCCTCTGTTTCTTGATTCTGGCTTCTGGGTTCGCCTCCAATCCGGGAGATGAAATGGGATGATATGATGCTGCCGCGGACACCGAGCGCAGGAGCTTCAGCCTGCGATGGAATGCGTGCGTCCCAGTGGTCACCACGAGAGGGAACGAGAGTGAGAGTGCAATCTGACGAGGGGGGACGTGAGCTTTTTGTAGTTTAGTGCTTAAAGCGTCGCATGTGGGGGTGATCACTGATCAGTGTTCTGATTCCTGCTTAGTGGTGGGTGTCTTGGGTGTTGGCCAATAAAATATTTACCAGTGAAAAAGAATCTGTTGCATTGAGCAAAATAATGTATGGAAGAACAGAATGTTTGGGTTCCCGAGTCATCATCAACTCATTAGTAAATGTTATTTTCCGAATAAGAATCCAAAGTGGCGCTAATTTTTTTTTAAAATAGCGATTCAAAGTGGATATTGTTTTAAATAAAGATCCGACATAGCTAGATCAATCTCGAATGAAGACATCGGCTGCGGCCTGAATGTTGGGTAGTAAAATGGTGGGTGTTATGCTTCCTTAATACATTTAAGGGAAAATTTCGAATAAGAATCCAAAGTGGCTCTAATTTTTTTTAAAAATAAAGATCCGAAGTGGATATTATTTTAAATAAAAATCCGAAATGACTTGACCAATCTCAAATGAGGACATGAACTTGCCGACCGGCCAGAATGTTGGGTTCCCGAGTCTTCAACTCATTAGTAAAATGTTGTGAGAATTGCTTCCTTAATACATTTAAGGGAAACTTTTGAATAAGAATCCAAAGTGGCACTATTTTTTTTTTAAATAAGGACCCGAAGTGGATATTGTTTTATATAAAAACTCGAAATGGCTTAGATAAATCTCAAATAAGGACATTAGCTTGCCCGCCGGTCAAATGTTCTCCGGCAAGCGAGCAAGTGACGTTTCTGGCTACCGGAATAGGGATGTTTTTGTCAAATAAGATAATATTTCACGACTTTGACTGTTTTTATCAAACAATGCTGGTGCTTTTTATTGAGATAAAAAAAGTTCAAGCTCAAGGTAAAATTAATGTTTTGTTTTTTTTGGAATTAGCCATTTCTTTTTTATAATTATAATGAAGTGATATTTGAGCTAATTTTCGTGCCCTCCGACAAGCCAAAACCAAACAACCCTACCACCGGTTAGGCAACCTGAATGGAAGATTGCAAATTGCAATACCTCGCAGCCCAAGTGTATAAAAATTTAGGAATCGAATTTGAGTTGGAATTGGACACTACTCCGATGTATAAGTGCACCACGCAATATCATGACGTGTAGCCGTAATTAAAATTATAAAAGTTGTAACACACCGTGAACTAGTTCAAGACTCGTATAAAAAGAGATTATACGATATCGTAGAAATTCTTGATTTGTACGAGAAAATAAGAAAAAACAAAAAAAATTATTTCTTTTGTTCCTATTCATATGTTTGGTCAACAAAGGAAATACAACGTAGTGAGAAGACCTCACTAGAGGTGGGAAGAATACACATGGACCCTTTCAAGTTCCTTACAAGCATCGCACAAACAATTTAGTATATGAAGAAACCCCGAATCAAGCTCATCCCTCTTCTCTCTCTCCTTCCCAGCTTCTCACAGAAGTCGCACACCGAGCAAGCAAAGCGAAAATGGAAACCCCAAGGCACAGCTGCCTAAAGCTTGTACTCCCAAAGCCCAGCGAACCCAAGAAGACCGAACCCATCTTCGTCAAGGCCACATGGTTCGACACCCGCTTCGACCTCTCCATCACTGACGGCCTCGATGCTTGGGATTGCCAAGGTACCATCTTTTATCAAGACCCAGTTCTTGTTTCGCATGAATCACGTATCTTTACTGGAAAATTTTGCTTTTTTTGATGATTTTGGTATCTGGGTTTCGATTTTTTTTAATCCTCGCGGTTCTGTTTTTGACACGGACCCAATTTTCTGCATAGAAAAGTACTTTTTTTTTTGTGGGAAATTCGCTTTTTGTGATGAATTTGGTATCTGGGTTTTGATTCATTTTGGCTTTTTTCGTTCTTTCGGTAGCATCTGAAGAGGAAGTGATAGAGAGAGCGGCTCAGTGGGACCAGCCGGTGTCCGAGTACATTGAATTGGCCGAGCGTTATTTGGGGTTTCAACAGCCTGGTTCGGTTTATAAGTTCACTGATGCTGGTGATGGGAATAGAAGAGTTGGTTCTTTCACTTTTTCCCGTCACTTACTGTCTTTTTAAAGTTTTGATTGGTTTAGTTTTGTCATCTTTAGTTTATTGGAATCTGGTGGGAAAATGCGGGTCATTAGGAAGGGAGTGCTATGTGAACCCTGCTTTTGTTAGTGGCATATATGGTAATCGGGGACTTGAGGCATTCTCTATTGGAACTGTGGTTGATGTATTAATTTGGATTGTTGGATGGAGAATTTTGAGATGATTACATGGAGCTGAGCAGGAAGCATGAAGTTTAACTGGAAACTGTTTATGTGAAATGTGCGATTATTCTATCAATGAAATAAGCTGGAGAATTGTGGTTTGATAGTTTTTTAGCAGGGTATAAGGATTGGATATGGCTGCCATCCAGGCTTAATGCTGCTTCCATCTTATGCAGTAATAATATATAGAATAAATGTAAATTTGCTTTGCTGGTATTGCTCAAAGATGCTCAATCTGTCTTTTGGTTGCTGTTCTACTATTCTGCTCCTGTTGATTGATTGGCAAACTTAAATTGATTGTTGCATATGATAAGATAAGGGATTCTGCAGTTGTCGTGGACGTTTGAGAAAGAAGGGACCAAACTAGAGTGGCGATGGAAATGTCGACCTTCACCGGATCGTAAGAAGACTACTTCAGGAATCTTGGACTTTCTTCTGGATGCCAATATAAGACTAAGTGTAAGATTGCACATTCTTGATACATTCTCCTAGGTTTACTTTGGTTATGTATTTCTCGGTTGATTGGTAGACAGCTTTAGTGACTTTGTTAGAGCTGTTGTATCCATGTACTTTGAGCGCATTTCTAAGGGTCAGCTTACATGTATATTGAGCGTCAAACAATTATGTGGTCCAATAGTGCTTGAAGTGTTGGTTGATTCGCATAAAGTACATGGCTGGATACAATTGCAAGTCATGGGTATCAATTAAAGCAATGTGAAGTGAACCCTTACATTTCTTGTGACCCTGCACACTCCAAGAATTTGTCTCATAAAGATATATCTTGAAGTCGGCCCCTTCAATCATTTATCAGGCTGAAATCTTTTGTTGTCCTTGTCATGACACTGCAGAGCCCCCAGGTGTTTAACTGCTTTACATGCATGCTTGTGCAGGAAGAAGTTGTGAGCAAAACTAAATCGTTTGAGAGGATGAAACTGGAAGCCGAGAAATGTCTAGCTCAAAGCGAGAGATTCAACAATGAGAAGACGGAATTTGAGTCGGCAATCTATGCAAAGGTACACTTTCGTACTTATAACATATTACTGATCCAGTGTCATACCAGAACCAGTCCTATTGGAGTGGGTTGTGCAAAGCTTAAATGTTGAGCATACCCATTGTCATCTCTTTCTTCTAGTAGTTTTTTGGCTCCGTTTGGTTCAGCATTTGGAATGCTCATTTGGGTTCTAAAGTCCCTTGGCCAAATGCAAATGGTGTTTGGCAACTTTTTTTACTCATTTTGGGGAGATGCAATTGCATTTGGAATGCACTCCAAGAGACTTTTGGCCAATGCAAGGGTGGAGGTGCCTTGAGAAGTTCCATTTTTGGAATGCAACTTGCACCGTTCATTGCGACTGTTCATCTTCCTCAGAGGCAGGTCCGGCGGCCGGCGACCGCCGCCTGGGGGTCGCGCGACCCCGGCGACCGCCGCCTGGGGGTCGCGCGACCCCGGCGACGCCCGAGGTCCGGCGACCCCAGGCGGCGGTTGGCTGGCGACCAGATCTGGCCGGCGGCGGTAGCCGGTGGTTAAGCTCCGCCGGAGCTTTTTTTTTATATTTTAAATATTAGCAAAAGTCCTTTGGCCCGAGTTGATTTTAAAAAACACTTACTAAACACTACTTGCATTTTGGAAAACCCTTTTAGCCCAAAGGTATTTGCATTTCCCCAAAGTCGAACCAAACGGGCTCTTTATCTCCAGATGTTTCTCGGGATTCTTTGGACCATAATAAAAAGGATGTATGCAGCAGATTTAGAAAACTTTGTTCTTTAGCATTTCTTTTGATATGTTTCGTGACTTGGTATGCTTTTACTTTGTTCCTTGTTTGATGGTCGTCACAATACCGTGCATGCTACCAGTACTATTCACACAATAATCCTTTTATCAAAAGCAGCAGCTGTCATTTTTGGTTTTCCTGGACGAGGAAGATGCAATAACACTAAAACTGATAAAGCAGGGTAGGAATGCCTGCTAAAGTAAATGAAGAAATTTAACCATTGGAATGTGGGACTGACTTAGCATTTTTTTACTTGTAGTTTCTTGGTGTCTTGAACACGAAGAAAGCAAAACTTAGAGACCTTCGCGATCAGCTGGCCAAGCAGGATGCGGCTGGGAAATTTGCACAAGAAGATGAAGAGTCCGCAGAAAAGACAGAGACTTTTGATGAGGAAATGAGTGACGATGCGAAAAGCAAGGAAGAAACTGTGGATGCAGGAACATCAAAGGCTGTGCCGAGGAGCAATGCCGGAGGGAGGAAAAGGATTACACGGAAGTAGCATCATGCTAACCAAGTCAACCGACTCTTTGTAGCGTGACTTTGTCAGACAAAGTATAGTTTCTGCTGACATGCGAAGGTAGTACAAAAACCTCGAATCATTACCAGAAAAGAGAAGATAGGCCAATGGAAGTAATTATACAGGTTGTTGAATGTACATACTTTTACAGAGCATTAGGAAGCAAACTCTAGTGATCTTTTCATTAAAATGTGGAGCTTTCGTCGTTCTTTCAATTTTGTTGGTCTTTGACGCTGAGATTGTATGAATTGAAAGGTTTTAATGATCTTTGGACAGCCCAAAAATTTAATTTGGCCTGTCCCAAGCCCAACTCCTCAGACATTCTTCGGTTTTTCTTTACAAAAAATTACAGCTTCCTTTTTATCTAAATTCGACTTAACCAGACCATGGTGAATTACTTTTCTTGTATTAGTTTTCAGATGAGATACATATATTTATAATGCGACACTTTGTTCTGCGAAGAATATTATGGGAAATCCACAAAGTGAGAGCATATTATATATGTGGGAATATATGTCCATTTGACAACCTTACCCCCGCTCTCTCTTCCCTCCGCCGCCCAGCCGCCACTCGACCTCCGCGATGTCAGAGACTTTCACCGACGATATCTTCATGCGATTCAAATGTGTCCACAAAGGCTGGCGGTCGTTGATAAGCGAGCCGGGCTTTGCCAGGATGCATCTGCAAATGATTCCTAACCAGAGGATCATCAAGAACAGCCCCTTCGAGACCAAGGCTGGCGGTCGTTGATAAGCGAGCCGGGCTTTGCCAGGATGCATCTGCAAATGATTCCTAACCAGAGGATCATCAAGAACAGCCCCTTCGAGACCGTAGACCACGAAGCGCTCGACGGCAGCGGCGGCGATGGCGATGATCGCGCGGTGGTGGAGTCTCATGAGCAAAGGATGAACTTGGATTTTTGGACGCACTCCTACATCGTGGGGACTTGCGATGGCTTGGTGTGTTAAAGTTACACAGCTTCGATTGACGGCTCCCGTAGATCTCTCATATATAACCCGACGACCAAGGAGTCTAGGTAATTGCCCGATTATTTTGCTCAAGATAAGTTATACAGTGGATTTGGATATGACCCTCGAGCTGATGACTACAAAATAGTGCAGATTGGCCGTTCTAGTGAAGAATGGCAGATGGCGATATTTTTGCTCAAGTCCGGTTCTTGGAGAAACATACGAGCCCAACAAGAAAGCCTCCCCTCCGACTACCGCCGAGGAGTTTTTAGGAGCGGGGCCTTACATTGGTGCGTCATTGATTGGAGCAGAAACAATGGGACTCTGATTATGTCATTTGATTTGTCGGAAGAGAAATTCTGCCGGATCCTTCTGGTCCCCCGAGTGGTTGGGAACATGGCTTTCACGGGAAAGGGGGTTTTCGCGGGACTCGGGATTCACGGGGCCAGTCTGTTCATATACAAGGGCGCCTTTAATCGTGGATAACGAATGAGTACGGTGAGAGAGGAGGATCGTGGACAAAATTGATCAGTGTCTTGGCCTCCATAAACCAGATCAAAAACGGGAAGTTCCCCATCGCTTATACGAGGAGCAAAAAAATCGTCTTTCAGAATGGTCTGTGCCAGATGGTTCTGTTCAATCCGGAGGATAATACTTGCAAGAAGTATCCCATCCAACCTAACTTTATCGAATCTGCTGCTATCTATTTGGAAACTCTTGTTTCTCCCTATCATGGCAGTCAGCCCCTCTCCAGATGCAGGTTACATCTCCCAGTGATGATCTCTGTTTTGAGAATGACACTCCATGATGCGACTAGGTTTGACTGAGTAACTTTCAAGCTCTCAATTTGTAAAGATTCGGCACTGAACTGGATGCTACAATTAGTCTTTGTCGTTGTAGATGATGCTCAAAGACGAGTAAAAAATTTGGTATATGAATAAGAAATCTGTTGCCTTGATTGCGCGTGTCCGGAAACAAATCATCATAGACTGTGGATGCCACTACAGCAGCAAATTAGAATAGAATAGTCTATTGACCTGGAGGATATTGAGATCTTAATAATGCTGAATTCAGGACTTCAAATCCCCCACGAAACTCGGATGCTAAAGAGTCAACCACTCAATGCACGTCAAAGATAATTTTATTCTTTTGTCCTCCTTTTTACTTGGATCAGTATGATCAATTATACCGTAGACAGGAACACTGTTCGAGGCAAAAGGAAAGTACATTATTTCTTCCGTGAAGATATCCTTATCCAACAGTCTCCACAAAGGTAAAATTCAAGTTGCATGATGACCGAAAGTGCTTACCAGTTGGTCGAGACAATCTCGGTTTGCCCATATAAGGTTGTGAATACAAATGTTTGGTTTGTCCCCCGCGAGTAAACCAAGGACCCATTACAAAAAGGAGCCTTCGAATCAAGAAAGAAGACTAAGATATCTCAATCAAGACAGAAAGCAATATGATTCTAAATAGAAAGACAATAAAATCAAGAATGTTATGGATCACCTGATATTTCCTTTTCGCTGTAGGTTTTAAGGGGCGTTCTAGCATGCGACCAAACACTGCTCCTTGCATGTTGCCAACAATCTAGGCACATATGACACCGGCATCATCACTTGCCTTTACTCGCTAGAAGATGGAGTAAAACAAAAGGATTGTGTGCCGCCTCTCATATTGAAATCTCTTAAACTTCTCTTCCTAAACATCAACCGAAGAGATTTCGCTAGGGCAAGTACAGCTGAACATTGGAAGTGACGTACCAGCAAAACAGGGGCCAGAAAGGTCAGCACTCTTGCGGATAAGTGTACGCAGTGAGATACCATGTCTCTCCCTCATTTAAAACGATAACTATAAAAATTAAAATTCGCAAAACATGGACGTTTGTGTCAAAAGTTTATATGAGACCTTTAGCTTGGTAAAGAGATGTGGAAGAACCACTTGGCACTATGTGTCAGGGTTCTCTACAGCAAGATGACAAAGAGACTGACCTGTATAGCAAGACCCATAGGCAACCTTACACAAGATTTGGAGGGGTTGAGTGCAAAAATTCATATAGATCAGGAGAGATAAAAACAGAATCGTCCAGGAGATTTTGAAGAGGCTTGTCTGAGCTATGCTCGTCAGTTGCCTCTTCAAACTAGTCAAAGCCACTGGTATTTCCTTCATCTTCTTCATTCATACTTAGCGATTTCCCGTTCTCACAGACTGAAGCACATTTTTTGGAATTTTCATGGCTATCAGCTGTTGCTTAGCTTTTGTCTAGAGTAAATTCTACAAAAACTTCTATAGATACATCTTGCCATTGCACTCGGCAGGAAGCGATTGATGTAATTCAACATCCTGCTCGCATTTCTTTGATCTGAGTCCATCAAATCTGCCAGTTGGAATGACATAAGAAATGTACGAAGAGAGAGACTTTCCTTCTATAGAACTCGGCCTGGCCTATACAATATTAGAAAAAGCAAAAGAGGAGGACGTATATATGTGACCTCTGTGACGCCTCATGTGATTTGCAGCTCGGTTATGAAGTACAGAGACCTAAACGGCTGTATTATAGAGGATAGCCCGAGGACCACGGCTACACCTCTGGCCTCTGCTCCCCCGGCGTCGCGTGGTCTCTGCCCTGCGCGTCGACGTTCCGTTCTGTCCCTGCCAGAGCGTCGCTCCGCTGCTGTTGTACGCCCGTCTCCTCTGGTCCCCCCCTGGCCGAGAATGATAGAAAGGGGGGGAAGAAAAACAGTTGCGGGCAGGGCCAAAGGGAAAAGAGACTGGGACGGCCCGCGCGAGGAAGGAAGAAAGGAAAAAAAAAAAGGACCGGGCCGGGCTGATCCGGCCCACTCGAACCGGGTCGGATCGGACCGGAATTTTTTGTTGTTGATTTTTTAACAAGGAAAATATGGCTAATATACCCCATTAATGCCAATGCACCTAATGTATATATGCCATGCAATTTAATGAAAATTATTCATGTTTAGGCGTTAAAAATTACCCCCCTTTATTTTATGTAATTAACCTAAAACGGATGAGCAAAAATTAAGTATCAACAGCTTGATAAAAAAAGAATCAAGAAATTGAAAGAGAAAGATGACGGTATTTCGGTAAGTAAAATTAAAAAAAGGAGTCTCTTAGCCAAAATGGGAGTGAAAATTGCGCTGCCCATTTTATATTACAATTTCCCTCTTATCTTTAATATCCCTGAATTAACTCACTTGAGATATTGTTCATTTTAGCCTATCACATACCGAGTTTCACGATTTTGTAGCTTTGACGTACAAGCAGGCACTTTCCCAATAGGTCACCCATCAGGATAGTGATTTAGTCTGAGCACGCTTAACTTTGGAGTTTCGAAACAAAATTTTTCACCCTCTCTTATTCTGCTTTGCTTTTCTTAGTATATCGCCACTCCATTTCTTCTAGCGCAGCGCTTATAAAGAGAGAGGATGTGGGCATCCATCTGCCCTTGATTTCATCCGAAAAGTGTTCTTGTTTGTGCTTAACTTTGTCTGGACCTAGTTATCCATTTTTCAATTGGATTGTCGGTAAAGAGGAGGATGTAAGGACCTCAACATAAAACTGGTGGAAGACGAGCAATTATTTTGAGATATGCAAGAGAAACAAGACCAGCAACACAAACTAATTTCTTTTTCTTTTGTAATCATTAGTAGATATGAATGGGTATGTATAGATCTGTTCAGGGAGCATCTTAACGTTGTGTAGATCTGCCGAAGTGCGAAGATTTCTTGTGTCGGGATGTTTCTTTTTTTTTTTCTGTCAAACAATGTGGATCAGTTTTAGCTTATCTAATGCTATTTAGTCTTCTTTTGAGTTTGTGGCTGCTGTGGTGTGCTGAATTGGGAAGAGTTGCTTATGCTGCCATCAGGAGTCAAGTCTGTCTGTTGTGGATGCAAGTTCATGACTGGCTGATATTTTCCTGAAGCTGAAAGAGGTGATCGTGCTGCCATTTGAAGTTTGCGAAGTTTACTCAGGCGGTCCTTCGTTTACCTTATATAATATAGACTTCGATTAAGCAGCAAGCATCTCGCCAACAATAGCATATGAAACACCCTTGATCACAGCAAGCATGATTACGAGCTCATCACCCTTCGCCAATCCCATCTTAGCTCCCTCTAGGGCTAGGTTGGAGATCGCCCTAGAGTTCATCGCCACTGGGGGCTTGAGCGGCCTATCCACAACCGGGTGGGCTCCACCCATGCGTTTCTTATTTTAACGTGCCGGTTGCCCGCACACCTCAATCCCCCTGGTGGATTAGAATCTTTTTTCTTACCTGGACCCCAGCAATACCCAACTTCATT